AAGGCCGACATTAGCTCTTAATTAATCTATATGATTTTTTTCGTATTTTTTCAAAGAAAATAAAATATAATTATTTACATCCAAAATAAATGCTTTCTCGTAAAAATTTTGCTGTAAATGAATGTATCACATGAATACCTAATAAAATATGTAAAGAAAGGCGTATAGATATTTTAATTTTTTTTAGATAAAAAAAATATTTATGAAAATAAAACACATAATTTGTGAATATTTTTTAAACCTGTGGTCAAAATCTTCTTAAAACCAGTCACAACTGGGGAGAACATGTTCGTTAATCATATTTATAAAAGAAATTGAAACGAAATGGCCAAATTTTAGAGAAATTATTTTTTTTAATTTCGGCCAATCCCGATCAAAATTACACCGATCCCAACCATAATTGTACAATTGTTGAAAAATAAATAACATTTCCAGAAGAACGCTAATTTGATAAGGTGTAATAAGGGATAAACATTTATTGAACTTGACAATAAAATAGATTTTTTTCATTGTAAATGCATGAAGAGGCTATAAATTAGCATTTTATTCATTTTGTGTTAATTTTGATCGGGTTAGGTCCAAATATTAAAAAAAAAAAAATTCTCAATTTCTCGATTTCGTTTCAATTTCTTTTTAAAATATGATTGACAAACATGTTGTCCTCAGTTTTGACTAGTTTTAAGGTGTTTTTAACCATAAGTTTAAAAAATATTCACAAACAATGTGTTTTATTTTCATAAATAATTTTTATAAAAAGAATTCAAAAAGTCTATCCAGCCTTACTTCACATGTTTTATTAGATATTCATATGATGCATTCATTTACAGCAAAAGTTTTACTCGAAAACAGCTTATTTGGATATAATAAATTTTTTCCATTTCCTTTGAAAAAATACAAAAAAATTAATATGAAATAATTAAGAGCTAATATCGGCCTTTCAGTGGTGCAACCATTGTTTAAAAAGGATGACTCAAAGATCTATAAAATAAAAAGTTGGTGTGGCAATCCATCTTAAGTAATAAATTCTCTTTTCTTTCCTGGTGAGGGTTAATCTGTCCAATACTTTAAGAAAATTGAAACTTTATTTTAACAAGCAAATTAAGAATTGTGGTCCTCCGCCTTCGGTGTCTTTTTGGGTTAGACGACATTTTCATAGCATACTGTGTCAAATATGAACGCCCTAATCATGTGTTATTCAGAAAATTAGGTCAATCATGAAGGTCAAGGGGTCAGAAACCATAGCATGCTTGGAAATATCTTGTCACAGGTAATGCACATCTCAAATATGCTAGCACTATCTCTTCTTGATAAAAAGTTAAAAGAAACAATTAACATTTTTTTTAAAGGAAGGTAAAACACCAAGGTCAAGTTCAAGGGGTCAAAAATCATAAAGTATTTAAAAAAGATCTCGTCACAGGCAACAAACAGGTTTAATATGAAAGCCATATTTCCTTTCATTCAAATGTTATGACCAAATTTAAAGTTTCTGAAAAGTTGGTCAAACTTCAAGGTCAAGGTAAAAAATCATATTGTACATATGATAGGTCTTATCACAGGCAATACACAGATTTCAAGGTCACGAGGTCAAAAATCATAATATAAGAAAGGTTTTGTCACAGGTTATACACATATTTAATATATCTTCTCATTCAAAATTTATGGCAAATTTAAAGTACTGTTTAATTTTTAAAAAAAAGGTCAAACTTCAAAGTCAAGGTAACGGGGTCAAAAATCATAGTGCGTTTAGAAAGGTCTTGTCACAGATAATATACATTTGTAATATGAAAGCCCTATCTCTTCTTATTCAAAAGATATGTCACGGTAGCCTAGTGGTAGAACGTTCGCTTCGTGATCGGAAGGCCCGGGTTAGATTCTTGTTCGCGGCGCCGCGTCATACCTAAGACGTAAACATAGGTAGTAACTGTTCCTTCGCCAAGCGCTCGGCATAAGAAGTTAAAGTCACGGGTCCTTCGGATATGACCTTAAAAATGTAGGTATTGTGTCATGGTAGGTGTTGGCACGATAAAGAACCCTTATTGCTCAATGGCCTCGAGTGCCGACTATAGGTCTACCTAGGTCTAAATTTGAAGCCCTTAACCCCACCGGTGCCGTGTCTTTATGAGTGAAAAAATTCTCGCACGGAACGTCAAACAAAGAACAATCAATCAATCAAAGTATAAAGACCAAGGTTAAATTTATTGGTACGGACGGACAGAACTACAGACTGACAGACAAACAAACGTATGAGATTTAATACCACCTAGCTTTTGCGAAAGTGGGGGACAATAAACAGAAATATAAACGCATCAAGTTTCAACAGTATCGCCCTGTTTTAAGACGCCCTACAATAATCAATTTGTCCATCTTCCTGTTATCGATCTCGTCAGTTCTTCAAAATGACAGAATAATCTAAGAAGATTTCATTTATGCACTTTAAATTTTTCATTGCTTAGAGTGGAGTACAATACATGTAGATCTAGAGTTAAGGATAATTTGATGTATGGATTGATATACTGTAAATGAATTATACTTAGCGTGATGATATTTGGCGGAAATTGAATTTTGTACGTTAGTGTGGGTTTGATTTAGCGCATATCTTAATGTTCTTCTTTATAGGTACATATATATGTGCCAGACATTTAGCGTAGTATTTAAATTAAGGAATAAATTATGGCTTTCCGTCAAAATATGCTAAAAAGAATACACAGCCAAACAAATGTAATATGTTTACAGTAAATCTTGATCTGATTTCGAGATGACATGGATAATCGATCCCTTACAAATTACACAGAAATCGTAGGTTTTCCTTGGTGCTTGGTCCAGTACCATATTTTTTACTCTACGATGCGGTTTGATGATCAAGACTCATTTCCATTGTTTACTTTATTTATTTCCCGGGCGACAATTAATGGTTACATCAATGTTTTCTTGTTGGTTTTTGATTTCGATGAACGGTGTTGCCGTGGTTACTAAAAATAGAAATTTTTGTGCAATACTTTTAAAATGCTACTCCTCCAACAGTTTTGGTCTGATATCAATATAACTTGGTACACAAGTAGACTACACCAAAACGCTAATTGTAGTCGGCGCGCTCGCGTAACAGATTTTGTTAATGAAATTAATCGCTTATACAATTTTGTTAGCATCGGTTATTTTACTTGATATTCTTATACTAATCAAAATTCTGAAAGTACTAATAGGAGTTGATTTTCTACCGGTAAGAGGCCTCCGTCAGTTAGCTGACTATTATGACGGTTTCAATAAAATTCAATGTTTGACACTTTGTTCACAACTTTTTCAAATTATGTTCATTTATGCTTCAAAAGGAAGTTTGTGAGAATTAAATGAAAAAGAAAATGACACGATTCTACAAAGTAAAAAAAGTTTTTGTTTTGATGTCACCATAACTTTAGAAAGATATGTCAAAAAGTGTAAGATTTTATTCTGTTCAATTATTTTCAATAAATTTATAAAGTATTTTTGACCAAATTTTTTTTTAAAGGCTTATTAATAGCAAATCAATTTCTGTAACTAAAGTTACTCCCCATCCTCTTATAAAGACAAGTTAATTTTTAGTAGTAGTATTATTTTAAAACGTAACAAAAAATCTTTTGAACTGATACTTGATTTCCTATATATTTCAATGTAAAAATTGAATTCCTTATTGCAGCCCCGCCCTACCACCGGTATTCATGGTTTGAACAATTTAAAATCTATACTACCCCAGGATGCTTCGAAATAAGTTTCATTGGCAGTGGTTATTTAGAAGAAGTCGAAAATGTGAACAGTAATTGAGTCCTCAGCTGAAGAAGATTTTTAAAAACCCTATACCTATTTTTGTCATTTTGTTGATTATCTCAGTATTTACCCTTGTGAAAAGTGAGGTCAAAGTACAAAGAAATGATGTAGTTGAAAAACTTTCATTTTAACAAATTAAACTCCTCTTTACTCAAGGATGCTTTGCACTAATGTGTTTGAGATAAATACTATTTTTAAAAAAATTGGCATTTCAAATGTCAAAGTCATAAATGTAAAGCAGTTATTTCAGATTAAAGCAGAAGTCGAAAATGTGAACAGTCTTTAAAACTGAGATAAACAATTATTTAAGAAAAGTGAGGTCGAGGTCAATGGAAAGATCAGGGTAAAAAAATGTTCATGCAGATGAATAGCTCTCCTCATTATGTATCAGCAAATGAAGATTGATAAAAGTATTGTGAGTGAATTCTTTAAAACTGTTAAACAGCTGATGAAGTCAAGGTCAAAAGAGAGATGAAAAAAAAAAACTTTTTTACATTCTTTGAATTGTGCATATGAAGTTTGATAAAAATATTGTAAATGACGGGAGACGGATACTCCTTGACTTAGATTGTTCTGTTTTGTCGCCTATATTCATTCGATGTAATAACAGAGGATAGCTAGGATTGATCATGACTTCCCTGCTATATGATAAAATATATATCTGACTTGAACCATCTTGCAATCCAACACATTTTTTTGGAAGGTATTTCACCTTTTTATGCATGGGCAAACAACTGTCTTGAAATGATTTATTTTGAAACCATCTTATTCTTGTTTTGTTTTTGTTTGTTTGTTTGTTTTTTTGATAACTGTAACTTTTTTCGCTATAAAGCCTATTTGGATCTGTTGTTAATATACACATACACTTTAAGGACTGGTTCGCGGTGAGAAATATTCACAATGACATAGCTCTCGAGAACTTCGCGAAAATATCTCGCACGCAAATAAAAGTTGGTTTACAGTATCTGCCATTGGAAGGACATTTTCACAATTTAGATCCTCCTTTAGGCAAGGATGTTTTGTTCCAGCTTTGGTTGTTCTTACATGTTAGAGGTCAAAATATGAAAAGTTTAGATACGGACGGGCAGACCACTACAAAGACAGACCAGACAAACAGACGGACGAAAGCCGCAAAATGATAATCAGAAAAGCTCCGTAAAGTTTTCAGCTCAAGTGAACTTAAATGAGTTTAAAAAAATTACATGGTGCCTGAACTTCTTTTCTCCTTCCACAGTTCCCAGTTACTGTTGAAAATGGTTCACATGATTTTGTTGAAGATGAAAATAGATCAGGATAGTTGCATTCTCTCAAAAAAGGTTTTCCTAATGCTGACAAGTTGTGTGAACAATCATAAAATTGTGCACAATTGAAAGGATCGGCAACTATTGCAGTCATGTTATGCTTGCAGACTAACTCAATGTGAACTGTAAAAAAAAAAAAAACCCCAGTATTAATGTATTTTGTTCTCTTTCTTCAATCACACTCTTCCTCATACTACATTCATATATGTATAATGTTATAGAGTTATTGACTGCGTATGAGGGCAACATATGATTCGTTGGACCTGAAGGTGAAAATGTTGCCCGAGGCCGCAGGCCAAGGGCAACATTTTCACCTTCAGGTCCAACAAATCATATGCTGCCCGAATCCCAGTCTATCACTGTTTTGTTATACCCTTCAGTGCTCACTTAAGATTTAATCAATACACACTATCTTATCAATAACTTTATATGGGAAAATTATGGCTTGGGGAAGCTCTAAACACTAACAGAAAATGTTTTTCGACTCTGAGAAAAATATATCATACAAAGATATGCATATTGAGACTTTTCGATTATTTAGAACATAGGGTATGTGCCTTGTTTGAGCAGGGAAAATGTTCAAAGACAATGGACTATTTGTGAGCAGAAATCACTGTTGTTTACTTACACTGGGAAAATTAATGAAAATAATTAATTAAATTTCTTACTCTTGGTCTTATATAATGCTAAAAATATTCTAATCTATTATAAATTATGTAATTAACGGTAAATAGCAATTTCTTTAATCTTACATCTAAGGGCAGATCACTCTAACTGTATAAAACTACCCAATAAATACAGTGGCTGCAACGTTATTGTTGACAACCTACACGAACGATCACGTTACACGAACGATTCCGCACGATTAAACCTGTTACACGAACGATCCTTCACGCACACGATTCTACACGTTACACGATCTTACACGACTGCTAAGGCAAGCGCACGATTCTCAAAAATATTTAGGAATCGATATTTTCAAAACGAAATACGGCTTAATACTGATTTTAAATTTCAAAGAATTATTAATATTATTTCATCGACTTTGAAATTTTTTTTAAAAATGGAAATAGATATATCTGGAACTAAATACATGTAAGACTTACTTATTATTTCACATTAATTTTTTGAATAATTATTTAGGTAATTCTCCGACTTAAGAAAATTGATTTTTTTTTTGTTCTGTTAGAAGATTTCATGTAGGAAGACCGTAAACTTTGATTGATTTGGGTTTCATAATATGCAGAAAGGAGATATTATTGAAGAAAAAATGGCAGCATGGAATGACTTTAATTACAAGTTATATCCATGTGTTTCCAATGTTTGTGAATCTCTAAAAATGAGCTTGCCAATTATTTAACAGTTTTCTTATTTGCAGAAATTAAAAAAATTTTATCAAAAGTAAGCTCTAGAAATAAACAATAATAAACAAAACCCCGAAAATCATGTTGTGTGCATGTACATTCACCGACTCAATATTTATGTAAGCATTAAGAAATGTTTATGTATTTGTAAAAATATTTAAGAAATAAATAACAAGTTTATAAACTTCAATGGGAATTGAAGTGGGTCGGTTACGTGATCAAATCCTGTGACGGCCGAAAATGGCACAAATGTATATATTTATTTTTGATGTATTTATTTTAAAAATATTTTGACCACAATTAGCAGTAAACAAGAATGAACATCAGAGAAAGAAACGTTAATCACAGGGGCTTGTGTAGAGAAAATAAATCAGTTGAAAAAAATCATCTAAGTACGGTTTATCGATCACAATAGGGTACGGTATTTGACGAGAACATAATATTGTACGACTTACTATGTATTGATTGTTTACAAGCGATCATTAGTTCGTTCTTCATTCAATTATGTATTTTGCGCTTCATTCATTTCATTTGGAGTTAAATTTAAAAAAAAAAGACAAATGAAATGCTTGTTTAACAAATAACAATCCGATAAAAACTTACAAAACGAAATTTGCACGTTTATAAAAGCACGATTACGCACGATTGAGTCTGATACACGCACGATCTCGCACGTTACTCGAACGATCATGCACGATTCTACACGATTTGTTTGTCAAAAATAACATTGCAGCCACAGTACTCTTTAGTGTGCACTGTTTAGAGCGTCCTTAATCATTAAATATAAAACAATAACTGAGAAAGAACAAAATTATTTATATTTTTTTTTACATCACAAAAATTATTTATCACAAAGCATATTCTCCCTTTCTTCCTTACCTTGCTGGTAGTAACAACTCATGCCACTCTTAACTTCGGTTATTTCCTCGTCGCCGATATTGAACGATAAATAATTACTTGTGACGTAGCAGTGACGTTGCGGTCTAACAATTCTTATGTTGGACCGGCAGGCCAGTCAACAGTGAAATTGTTAGACCGATGAAATAAATATTTCTTTTGTTGGACTTTCCATTAGTAATAAAAATATAGAAAGCTATTTATAAGGGTATAACAAATATCTTTAAAAACCTGGACAAGCTTTTGTTGTGTCGCATGGCCTTGTTTCTTGTCCTTTTCCGCTACAGTTTTGTCCTCCATATGCAGATGGGGGGTTGTTACACGTTCTTTTGCGTATTGTTGTTCCATTCTCACAGGACACTGAACATAGTCCCCAGCTTTGCCATGCAGACCAGCCTCCATCAACTATAATGCAAAAAATATCATTCCTTCGAGCTACTTTTTGACATTTTATTCAGATTATATAAACTGGTATATTTGAGGAACGTTTTTAAGTTTTGTATGAGTTATTGGTGTGTGAATCACACAAACGTGTCATGTGGGCATATTCAATGAAGCGCGCTAGCGCCTCAACAAAAATATGCGTTTTTTTAAGTCAAATTTAAAAAAATTATAAAAGCTTAAAATCAATAAAAATACATTCAAGTTAGTTTGTTTAAATTAAATTGTTAAATTAAAACATCATTGCCATGTTGATCTGTTTAAGTATTATTTATTTTTATTTGACAATATTTATTTTACTTTATTACTCTCATGATGAATTTATCATTAAGTTTTTGTTGTATTTTGTTAAATCCTACAGGATTTTTTTTTTATTAAACAAAATTGAATTCTTACAAAAATATCTGATACAAGCAGCTATTTTTTCATGTTTTCTCATGAAATGAAAAATATCTCATGTAGTAGTCAAAGGTTTCAAAATTGCCAAGGCTAAAATAAATTATACCTTTGTTCAAACTAATGCGACCGACCAAATTACTTGTATATCGAGCTGACTGATAACATTTTTTAAGTAAGATGAATCAAATTTTTTTTATTGTTAACCAAGTTTTAAAAAAGGATAATTTCATCAAAATCAGTTTTCATCAGAACGGCCGACATTGTTGTACTGTGATTTTCAAGCATTCGTTGGAAACAAAATAGTGCCAAGATGTGACCAGAGAATTAGTTCTTCATAAAACAACGGCGACGTCTCAATCTTATGCCTTTAGCTAATTAGAATTCTTCACTCTTGAAACAATACGATAAAAAAATTTACCATGTCTAATGAAGAGTGTTTCGGAGGTGTCTTTGCCGTCCCCTTGAGAGTGAATAAATTTTTGAAAGGGACGTAATAATACATGGTAAGGCCCGCCTCAGGAGCAGATGAGGGGGCCACCTAGTGAACACATCATTTAATTTCACTGCAATTTATTTACTTTAAGTTCTGATCTAAAAACCAGATCATCTATGTTCCTATGTTTATATACTATATGCCATTATGGAACCATAGGAATTGTTGTAAATATGTCTTCATATTCATCCTGATGAATATAATTCAGATGTCCTTTCTTCATGCCTTTATTTATGGTTTAAAAGTGGTGACTATGACATTGTATATAGGATTTTTATCATTTGTTGATTCGGTTTGGTTCAATTAAATATTGTTTACACACTCTTTCCAAAAAATTTTTAAATCTTGATTCAGCTTCCTGAATAGCTGCAGAACTGTAGATATCTGCTTGAGAAAATTCGGACAGATAAAGCAGAGAGCTACAGATCCATGCGTTGTAAAAACCTTCGATTTACTCCGACGATTTTTTGTCGCTCACTATGGGAATTTTTTCTTGTATTTTATACTTTCCCCAGCTTTGAAAATAATTTTAAATGGTATTTAATAATTAATCATACATTCAACTTCAATTCCTGATCATTGACTTACCTCTCAACGCTAACAAATGGCTGTTTGTGGTTACGGACGTCGAAATGGAACTTTTTTAAAGCGACATTACAAAACTGTATACAGGACTGTTTCGGACCGTTAAAAGGTTAACAAAGTATCAAATATAAGAGTTAAATATATGAATTATAATATAAGAGTTAAATATATGAATTATTATACCATTCCAAAAGCCAGAAAAAGCTTAAACTACACGAAATAAATACCTAAAGTAGCGACAAAAAATCGTCGGCGTAAATCGAAGGTTTTTACAACCCTTGGATCTGTAGCTCTCTGCTTTATCTGTCCGAATTTTCTCAAGCAGAGAGCTACAGTTCTGCAGCTACTTCCTCAGACGCCCAGTGTATTTATCTTTAAATAGGCCCTTGAAGATTGGTTCTTTCTTTGCTTTTATGTTGGGACAACATTTGAACATTCCCCATTGCTCCAAATTAAGACGTACTTAACACTTTATCACCATTAATTATGCGCCTGGATCGAAAGATCCGAGGCTTATATTGTTTTTGTCCTGTCTGTCTGTCTGTTTGTCTGTTTATCGGTTTGTCTGTTTGCCTGCAAACTTTAACCTTCGCCATAACTTTTGAACCATGAATGGTTGAAACTTCATATTTGGTATGCAAACTCCACTAATTAAGCTCTTTCAAATGACACCAAGACCAATGACCTTGTGACCTTGACTGTTACTTATATGCTAAAAATAGTTTTTCTGCACACTTTAATCTTCGCCATAACTTTTGAACTATAAAAGATAACAACTTCATATTTGGTATGCATACACCACTGATTAAGCTCTAAATGGCACCATGGTCAATGACCTTGTGACTTTGACTGTGACATATATGCTAAATATAGCTTTTTTTGTTAGCAAACTTTAACCTTCGCCATAACTTTTGAACGAAGAAAGATAGAGACTTAATATTTGGCATGTATACTCCACTAATTAAGCCCTTTCACATGACACCAAGGTCAATGACCTTGTGACCTTGACTGTGTTCTATATGCTAAAAATAGCTTTTTTGTACCTTCACCATAACTTTTGAACCATGAGAGATAGAGACTTCGTGTTTGATATGCATACTTCACTAATCAAGTTCTTTCAAATGACACCAAGATCGATGACCTCGTGACCTTGACTGTGACTTATATGCTAAAAATGTGTTTTAACTTTGTTGCCGCCGGGCGCATAGTGTTTCACAAACACATCTTGTTATGTTCCCAAACGAAGTTGGGGAACATATTGTTTTTACTCTGTTTCTTATTATTATTAAGGTCTTTCGACTTCCTTCGGAAGATCTTATTGTTATTCGTCTGTTTTTTATTATTAAGGTCTTCCGTCTTCACGGAAGACCTTGTAGTGATTCCACTGTTTCTTATTAAGGTCTTCCGTCTTCACGGAAGACCTTATAGTGATTCCATTGTTTCTTATTATTATTAAGGTCTTCCGTCTTCACGGAAGACCTTATAGTGATTCTACTGTTTCTTATTATTAAGGTCTTCCGTCTTCACGGAAGACCTTATAGTGATTCTACTGTTTCTTATTATTATTATTCTTTTTATTATTTTTTTGACTTTCTAATTGTTTCTTATTAAGGTCTTGGAATGAAGTGAAATTTTCACGGAAGACCTTATAGTGAATTTTGTACATCCGAGAGAAAATTTAAGGTCTTCCGGTGCCAAGTTCACGGACAATTTCCTGAAATGAAAATGACATTGTTTCTTATTAAATTAAAATTAATATATTTTCTGAAACTTTTTTTTGACTTTCTAATTTTGTGCACGCGATTATATTCCAAGACTACTGGATGAAATTAAATCGAAATTTTCTAGGACTTTTTTGTTTTTACATATTTTTTATTATATTTGAGAGATTTTTTAGAGACTCACTTCCGGTGCCTATATAAGTTACGGACAATTTTCTGAAATTAAAATTAACATTTTGAAAATTAAACGGGAAAACGGTATAAGATATCAACATGAAACTTTCAGGGGATTATAGCATTGTGATATTTAAACCATTCTGACACAAAGAACTTTCGTAAGAAAACTACTTGGACTTTCACGTAGTAGTACGTTGCAATTCAAATTGAAAAAATCTTATTTTTCACTGCTTTAGTGTAACTGGGCTAGATACGATATGTATTGTGTACTATGTGTTAGATATACTAAAGTCTTTCTTAATGTCGAAATAAAAAAAGGCGATAAGAAGTTGTTTTATTTATTTAATTTCGTTGAAGCTATCACACCTATTTGATAGATCAGTCCAAAGAAAAGGCACGAATATTTACTTGTGGCGTTTGGCGCGAGATTATGAATAGTGGCCCGCCTTTTATAATTCTTTGACAGGTGTACTGTTGCAAAAGTATATACAAGTATATTTATAGCAGTGCTCCCAATAGCTTAATGCTTTGCCCGCTGGGGATAAAAGAGAAAAAAAGCGCATTCACGTTGGCGACCTGGTTTCTATCCTCCTTGTAACCAAAATTCTGAATCACTTTTCAGCTAGATTTTACAAGTTTTTTTTTCCTGAATCGGACGGAAGACCTCTCGTTGCTCGCAACGAGATCGTATCTAGTTTTTATTATTTTTTTGACTTTCTAATTTTGTGCACGCGATTTCTCGAAGACTACTGGGTAGAATTGCGTGAAAATTTCAGGAATGACGTGTTGTATTATGAATTTCTTATATCCGAGAGAAAATTGGAAACTCACTTCCGGTGCCAAGTTACGGACAATTTTCTGAAATTAAAATGAAATTTTGTCCACGGTTAAACTCAAAAACGGTAAAAGATATCAACATGAAACTTTCAGGGATTATAGATCGTGATATATACTATCCAGGACGCGATTTTATGTTCGTCGTCAATACTTCCTGTCGTTAGGAGAAGCAAATTGAAAAAATCTTATTTTCTAACTTTTTTGTTTTTCAATATATATTTTATTTATTTTTGGAATGATAAAAGAGACCCTTTGATTGATGTTTACTGTATAAGTTGTTAAAATATTGGTTAGTCTGACCTCTAGATATTAATATTTGAAAATCTGAAGCGGGACCAAGATGGCAGCTGTCTCTGTCAATTCCGCCATTTCGCGAGTAGGGGTTTATGGAGGAAGCTGAGCGTTTAATTAAACCATTCTGACATAAAGATGCATGTAATGTAAAAAACTACTTGGACTTTCACGTAGTAGTACGTTGCAATTCAGTGTCAATCTTAAAACTTAATTTCCGTTTCACTGCTTTAGTGTAACTGGGCTAGATACGATATGTATTGTGTACAATGTGTTAAATATACTTTCTTAATGTCGAAATAAAATAAAGGCGATAAGAAGTTGTTTTATGTATTTAATTTCATTGAAGCTATCACACCTATTTAATAGATCAGTCCAAAGAAAAGGCATGAATATTTACTTGTGGCGTTTGGCGCAAATTATGAATAGTGACCCGCCTTTTATAATTCTTTGACAGG